ACAAAGCCAGCCACTCAGTGTTTTAGAACATGCTAAAAAAAAAATTAAAAAAATAAAACCCTGTCTGATCCATTTTGAAAATACATTGAGAAGCCAGAGCGAAACTGTCCATACTCAGCACCTACAGCTAAAATAAACAAAGCTGCAAAGACAAAAGAGGAAGGCAGTAAACAAACAACTGGATGACCAAATGTACAAAAGGGAAATGACTAAGAAGATCAGGAAAAGGGCTGTTTCATCAGTAAATATTTCTCGGGCAACATATAAACACAAACTATGTAGACACACTGTGCGGACACGCAAAAGGCATATTGAAAACAAGTAAAGGGGAGATACCAAAGCACACTTCAATGTACTTTATCAGACTGAGACAACAAAGCAAAGAATGAATGGAGGTGGTTTTGGCTAATCCTCTTGTCTGTGTGTGGCTGTGAATGTACACCTTTGAATCTGTAGAGGTGTGTGAGCATCTATGTGGCTGTGAGCGCATAGCTCTCTGATCATGTGCAATATCATACAAACTGTACATTTTTATATGTATGTGAGTGTGTTCTACAAAAAGCAAGCAGATCCAGTCAAATTCAAATCAGCTTTATTGGCATGAATGTATAACAACAATATTGCCAAAGCTACAAATAAATTACATAAGAACAATTCATTTCATACATTTCATTAAACAAGTAAATAAAACAGTAAACACTGTGTTGTTAATAATGGATCCAGTCTCTTGCTGTGTCTGTGTCCACTGTAGGCTCCAACAGACTCTGAATAATATAGCACAATAGAGGAAAAGAAAGGCTTTGTCTGGAAACTTATGCTTTCTTTCTTTTATTCAAACTTTCTCCACTTGGCATTCCAGTTATTCTATTTCACTCAACTCTAAACTAGTAAGCCGGACTTTACCTTTACTTGAAAATAAAAAGAAGAATATGCGCGTTTCTCATTGTGAGTTTACTTTGTTAATACACATGAATTCTTGAATCCTAATCCTCGTTTCTTTTGTAACCCTAACTATGCTCTAATTGGATCAGGTCTATGACGTGAATCATTTGAATACATCTGGTTCCCATACAGCAGTTAAAATAAATCACTTAAACAAACACAGAAACACACACAGCATGCAAGAGCTGATAATTATGTCAAGCTACAGTCTTACACCGGACTAATTCCAAAATTCGGTCAAAGGTTTTTACTACACCACAGTGATTAGCTCATGCAATGAGCATTTACTGATGTTTAAAGTGGAAGATTGTTTCACAAACCAGTGTGTTATTCATAAAACTTCAGCTATATTGCTGACACACAAGTTTACACCTACATCAACAGAAACATTTTAATAATAAAAACACTTGAATTGATGTTAAGATTATAATAACTTTGTTGTGGTGTATTTGTGTGTGTAATTTTCTGTGTTCAAAATTCAGTGTTTGAATATAACTATGCAGCTGCTGGGCAGGTCAAGTATAAAACATGGGTAGTCACCGTGACGTCACCCATATGTTTCTGAAGAGGGACTGTGAAGCTCAGTGTGGTGGCTCCGGCCGTTGCCATCTTGGCAGTGCCTGACTCCGGCTAATCCAAAAATAGGCAAAGAGGTGAAGCATGGGTGGAGCTAGCAGACAGCTAGTGGCTAGCCACCTGCAATGGCAAGTTGCTTGAGCAGGCCTGAGAGAGCTACTCCAACAGACTGTCAACACTGACAATGACACTGTGCAAGTTAATTTCTAATTTGACAACAGTGGGGCTAATTTGTTTTGCCAGGAAGATATGAAAGAAAGCTGTGAATAGGTCATAGTTGGTGCAATCAGAGAGATTTTTAAATGGAAAAAGGTCAGCATCTGTGCATAACGTGTTTTCCTGGTATTTTAGTGTGGCTGAACTTAATTAAATCATTAAGGTATTTCGGAAAGGCGATTTTATTTGAAAATCTTAAACCCGCCTTTCACATATTTAACCTATGACAACAACTGAACAACTACAATGCTGAGATAAACAGATCACTACTCAAGTTTTGACATACTGTGAAGCCAAAATTGATTTGTTTTTGTTTTCTTTTAAACCAGTGAGGAAAATAACCTTCAGACTTTCATCACTAACCCAGTTAGACTCTATTCTTGAAGAAAACCCTAAACATTCTGATGTTTTTAACAAATAAAAAAAACATAATCCTGTATTCAGCAGGTATTCAGGACTGGAAATGTATTCCAAGGACTGGAGTGAAAACATCTTATGCACTGTTGGTATCAAGACAGATTGTCAAATTCATGTCTTGCTTTGGGGTTAGCTGTGTCAGAATTACATTTCTGAAATCAGTAGTTAATCATGTCCAGGTTTTCTATCTACATAAGGAATTGAGTTATATGAAAATGGACTGGTCCTTAAATGGGAGATTTATTTTTAAAACAATATAAAATGTCTGGCATATGCATTTTCACATATAAATATATCAACAAAGATGCATTTGTTAATACTAAATTGCAGTCCGAGATTAAAGTTTAGGAAAGGCTAATTCCTGAACGTGTCCTTTAATCTTCTGATCATGCTGCTTCAGTGATAACACCGATAAATGAGTCCCAGTGTAGCTTTCATCCAAACACCCATTAAAACAACTGCTGTCACCTGTCAAAGTCTGCTGAGTCTAAAGATCAGCCCTTTAATTTTGAGATCACTGGCAGTATCTGCAAGACTATACAACACTACAGCCATTTGCAAAGGCGTCTGAAAGCCCTGTTCTCCTGATTAAGAGACTTACTTTGTGCACCTATATTTTTATTATTGTTATAATTATATAACATAGTAGGTTGTCTCTATGCTGTGGTGGTAATGAGTAGAAGGGCTATTTCTCTTTTTACTTTAGACACACACACACACACACACACACACACACCTGATTTCCAACTGTTACCATGGTGATTGCTATAGGCAGAAGGTTAGGACTTGAAGGTGGACAAGAAGATGGAGGGGAGATGGTAAGAATGAAGGCAAGAAGTCATCATCTATGTTTAATGTGGCTTCAGCAGCATCTGGCTAATTATGATGAGCAAACAGAAAATGACGTGTTTGTCCATCTCTACTTTCTCTGACCTAGACACAAAACCATGCAGATGCTCTTTAAAATCAAAGTCACTGTAGCAAGCACACACAGAGACACACACAGGCTCTGTAGGTGAACAATACAGTAAGCTGATAGCTTCACCAAGTACAGCGACTCCTAAAGGCCCATTCCATGTACATAGCAACTGTTTGGTTTGGTGACAAATGAGTCCTCAGTAAATTATACTCCAGAGATCAAGTTTTTCCAAGAAATCTTTCTTATACTGTGGCCTGAACCAAAAATATATCCATTTATTCATGCCTCTGAGCTACCAGAAAACATGGCAAACCACAAAAACCATATTGCTAGTATCTTTAAAGTTAACTTTAAAGATAATGAGAAAACCTTTCTTTCAGACTCACTCTCCTGCCTTCTAGCAGCTGTTCAATGTGCTGGGTTCAGAGGCACTTTAATTAGCTCAATACAGCAACAAAAAAGGCAATCAAACAAATACAAATCTAAACTTCATTCTAACGTTGCTCTCTCTCCAACACAGGGTCATTAAAGAAGCTATCAGCTGCTATCAAAGCTCTCTAGAGCATGCCCAATTCAAAAAGTCTTTAATCACTGTGGAGAAAAAAATAAATAAAAAATTCAAACAACCCTATCTGCAAGACACCATTAGCTAGAGAAGGTGTGTGTGTGTCTGTGCCCACATGTGTGTATATGATGGGAACACAGTTAGATCTATTATAGTGTCCATTAAAAGAGTAACCCAAATGTGTATTTTCTCCAGATATCTAAGCTACTGCAAAAAAACAATCAGGCTGAATGGTGTCATGAGCACCAAACTAGTCTAAGAGCTTTTTAAATTCCATTAGTTAAAGATAAAGAATAATACAGATAAGAAGATAAATTATATTCATATCAAAAGCTATTTGCTAAATAATCCTGTCAAAGAATTCATAAGTATGAAAAAATGTGGTGCCCTTACAGCGTGCCTCACCAGTCTGAGGTGCAGGGTTTTATATAAACCTGTTAAGAATGTGATATATACAACTGGACCCTTAATGGAAAATGTGGTCTGTAGTCCTGGTAATCAAGACTTATTATATAACCTGGTGCGATTGTCATGCTTGCCTCTTTGCTGAAGAGCTCAGGTGTACAATGAAACCTGAGCAACAGAGCACAAAAATGATATGGGTGTTACGTGATACTTCTAACCTGAGTGGGGGAGGGGGTGATCAAAGTGTAGATGAAGGATGACGCAATGCTCTTCAGCTGAATCTAACTCCTTCATGACAAACATTTACACTCTGAGTTAGACGGTGAAAGAGGGAGAGCGACAGAGACAGTATGCTCCCCCATTGCTCTCTCTCTTTGGCTAAACCCTCCCTCTCTGCAGTATGTGAGGTGATGAATGTGTGTCTGTCTCAGTTCCTATTAATAGTATGGAGCTGGTCTGGAGGTGTCAAAGCAAGGGAGGGATGAGATCTCTCACTCTCTCCTTCCCTCTCATGCACATACAGAGTTGAAGCAGACTCTACCACAGAGTCCAGATGTAGCAGAGGTAGAGTATAGGTGGTGGTGGGGTTGGACAAAAAGCAGGGGAAAAGAGTGGTAGAGGCCAAAGACAAAGCCACCAACTGAACTTCATACAGCATACTGACGGATTTTCTACCCATAAGATAAAGCAAACAACCCACAGCACCCCTCGGCACGGTGGGGTTAAAGACTGGACTCGCACAGTAGGGCTACACAGACAAACACACTGACACATAGATGCCTAGACACACATACTGTTTAACAGTGAGTTCACTGATTAAACCCTGTCAGCACTGTGCTAAAACATAGGGGCCATCAGGGCCGAAAAAGACACTAATTCCTATAAGGGATGAGGGATAGGTTTGCTGCAGAAGACCAGTGTTCATACATTCAAGCCCCTAAATCTGCGTGGAATTCCTACCTCGCGAGTTGGTAGCCAGGTCGGCTACTTTCTGAAAGGCATCCAGGAAAGCAGCCACAGCAACTACCGTCGCCCTAGGAAAAAAGAGGAAGACAGAGGTTTAGTAATAACACACTTGACTGAAAAAATATACATTACGATGTTATACAAAAATTAAAAAACGGCACTTGCTGATCAACTGCAGTAATTACATACGAGCATTGGCAGGCAAAGGCATAAACTGATCAGATGAAGAAAAAAACATATCAAATCTTCTTCTCGGAAGCTCTGGAAGGTAGAAAAAAAAACAAACATTTGCAGGTGCATATGTGCATATCCCTGATGATTTTAAAGTATGTATGATAGTGTCTATACTGTAAGGATGTGTGTAAGTTAAAACTTGCCCTGCTGTGTGAGGAATGTCTATGTGATTACTTTGAGACCACTGAAATCTGTCCTGCTCTGCAGAGCAGCTCTTGAGCTGAGTTTGCCACACTTACAGGTCAATGAAAGGATCAATGTGGGATCGACCCCGTTCAGCTTGAAAATGGAAAAGGGTTTACCAAGTATTTACAAAAATTATTATACAAAATAGACTGATGAAAGGGCAAAAAAACACACTGTCATAAAAAAGTGGTGGGAGCCTGGAGTAAGATTACTTTCCGTTTTACTCATTACAGACACCATCTTGTTGGTATCCAGACTGATTGTTTGTCTGGCTGCCTGACTGACCAGTCGCCTTGTTTGCTGGCAACAGGCGGCCTCCTTGGCAGGTCGACTGACTGGTTAACTGGCAAATACTGACTCGCCTACTTCAGGAACAACAGACTTCTCATGATTAAGATCACAGGTTTGGAGATGAAAGGCTTTGGTGCACGTGCATGCATGTGATATCTGATCTCCTCAACTGAGACAAGACTATCAGTCATCCACGCTTAAAAAGATTTCCTGAAGTTTTCCAGGACACGTTCAGCCACAAGAGTGTTTGTTGGTGGTAAGCAGCACACTGGCTGTAACTCGGGACAGACTGGGCCTCTTTCAGACTTGTGCGTTTGGTTTGAAATGCCGTTTCACAGATATTTCCTGAGCTGACTGGTGGCTGTGTGTGACGCTGGCGCCGATCACCACAATACGCTTAACTTACTACACGTGTCTTTCTGTTGTGCATATTTCCTGTCTATTACTGTGCATTCAGACCAAACTCGAATTTAATCCACGCAACGCTTTCCTCCCGGCAATGTCCAGTTTTGTCCGTTTTTTATATAAATATGAAGTAGTGCCAAATGACGCTAACAACACTGGAACCGGATGTGCACGGAATCTAGCTGCTGAGAAGCTCGAGTGAAGATAAATCAACGTTGTAATCCCAAAAACTAAAGTAAAAAGCTAATTTAATAAAAGCAGTTTACTCCGAGCTCCTCCCTCGAGCAAACGGCGTAGTTGTCAGAGCATAATCCAGTCCGACCGAGGGTGTTTATTTGTCCAAAAGCTGGAGCGCTGATCGCTGCTCCTCTATCACAAGTTTAGCAGCTCTTAGCCGGCCTGCAGATTTTCAATCGCCCGCTCTGCCTGGCCCTCTCCATGCAACGCTCTGAAGCTGTCGGTGACGTACGGACAATCTCAACGTTGATAGGCTATTGCGACTCAGCGTCATGCGAATTTCTTGCTTGAGTTTAAAATATTCAACTCACGCGAATTCCTTCGCGTCGCCGGCACTGCCCCCATTTGCATCGTCGATAGGAAATTGCGGCTCTACGCGTCTTTGCATTAACTTTGCATGTAAACTCACCGCCCTGAACTCTCGCTTCGCTTTTGGTCTGAAAGCACCATTAAAGTGGCGGATTGCCTGACGATTTCACCCACCACCAAGTTACCTGCGGGTGGCGGGTGCTACTTTCATTCGCTGTGCGCACCTACGTTTCTGTAGTTTCAGCTTCTGCCAAGCTTAACGCCAAGTCAAGGTACAGCGTAATGTGCAAAGTTGATGCTTCCTGCATGTCATGTTACCAAAGCATACCAAGTATGTGTTGTCATATCGCAAATGGAATTAATGGTTCAGCCCTAGCTTAGAGTATGATCTAAATGTGGAGTTGTACGGTATATTGAAAAGGTCTTAACCGTCTTAGGACTGTTAAAGTTGTTAGTTGTTTAATCAAGTTACAGTTAACATCTCTCAGGCGCCTCCTACAAGCTTCACAGAAAAAGAAAACAGAACACAGCTGATCATCTGACTTAGTTACAAGCCTAAATATTCTTCTACATTCAAGTTGACAGCCAAGCCTTAGCATTCGGTCAATGATGGAACAGACACTCCCTTTATCACTCAAAATATGAATGTAAGTTTGGCTAATAAGGGCTGTGTTGTTGCAGATCTGACTGGATGATCCAAGGGTGTGTTCTGCAAATGGAAAAAGAAACATACACACAGGCCCACACAGATTCCTTTCTAAATAAAGTCCAGTGCGGGCACCAGGACACCCTCCAACTGATATATGCGTCCAGTAATGTACACACTGCTGTATGGATCATAATTTACATGTAATTGCTGCAAAGTCTTGTTCAGTCAAGTTTAACCCTCCAAATCCAAACCAGGTTTGTGTGGGAAGTGGTTTTAACTGAAGCCTGCTTTTACCATTAGTGGCTCAAGTACACTGAAGTACAATGTGCAGTAGGTAACAATTAGTAGCCATGATCATCTTATCAGATGATCATGGCTACTAATTTCAAGAGAAATGACAAACTATTGTACTGGTTTATCTATTCACTACATTTTCAACTCCTATCAGTACAACCTTTGGAGGCAGATCTTACAGTCGCCATTAGAGGGAAAAATCATAGTTTTATACGCAGCATTGAACCAATTTAATATTTTAAATTTTCTGGCTCGATCAACAGTGAAATTAGGTAACTTCTCAAAAAATAAAGGAATACTACATTGCAAAATGTAGAATAATCAGAGTTTAATTTCAGCTCTGACAGTCAGCCAAAAAGCCTCAAGACTTTTGTGGCTATAAGAATAAATAAAATAAAAACATTGCTGCTACAAACCTTCAGCTTTGCTCAGTACTCCAACAATGACCTGACTGCTACCATTGGCCTAAAAATCTGCAAATGCCCCTGTCCTGGAGTCAAGACAAACGAATTTAACATATCTATTCCAAAAGGCCTTGGCCAAGCCAATCTAAACTCCCAATGGATCCTTGCGTAGTACAGCAGAGTGCTCTTTCTGACAATGATACATTCAGCACTGCTGCCCACATCTATTCTTAGTTCAACAGAAACTGGAATGTGACTGTAGTAAATCTGAATCATAGAAAGAGGTTGCGTTTAACTTCAGACACAATGTACAAACTACAATCGTGAACAAGATCGTACTTTGAGTGTGCTCTTAAAATATTTTTTAATATGTGTACTGCATCTGTCTGTTGATCTACAAATCCATCTACTAGTAGTGTCTAAACATTGAGCCCAAATACGTTTTATAACCATACAGTTCATAGACTGAATTTGAAGTTTTGAGGTGGTCTGTTTCTTCCTAAAATGAACTTAAGACCAGAAGGAGGGAGGCCTGTGTGTGAGTCTAGTTCTGACACAGCTGCATCAACCATGACCCACTAAAAAGACCAAACACTGACAAGTTAAAAGAGGACTGTGATTACAAATCAGCCAGCCTATATTCCACCCTGCCCTCTTTCTTCAAAGCTGTGTTCTGTGCACATGAATTTAGAGTATATGTGTATATACGTGCACGTATGTGTGTATGTGTGATGGCTGCTCAAAACCAGAGTGGGCATAGGGAAAAACACCATATTTGGACCAAAAAAATGACAGAACAGCCCAACACTGTAATTGGTTGATTTCCTAGTTGCTTTGTGAGAGGGGAGCAGAGGGTCTAAATTACAGAGTAGTCTGCCTTAAGACGTCATTACACACACAGACATATGCCGTTACCACTGCTGGCTAGTCACTTATCCAGGCCAAGGAGGGGAGGTGGGTGTGTGTGTGTGTGTGTGTGTGTTTTTTTTACTGTGTATATGTGTTCTTATATGTAACCCAGTCCCCAAACAGATTACAGAGGTCCTTGGACGGAATCGGGGGGGTAGGGGTTATGCTATAGTTCAAGGGGCTAGTTTAGCCAAATTTGTAGTGGCTGGAGACAGGCTTTAAAGCAGACAAAAAAAGGCCTTATTTGTAGGTCACCACGAGCGAACCCAGATAGCACACTCTTATTAGTGCTCCAACAGCACGGGGCATCGTTACAGCCAGCCATATGCCACAACCACTGCAGCCCGGAGCAGGGCATGGGCAAAGTTTAATCAACTCATTGTGTAAAAAGGAGGAATTTATCTTTTCTGGGGGCATCAATAGACTAGTCCTGAAAGAACAAGAAAGTGGTATAATTCCATAAAAGGGCCAATGATCATACATTATAACATCATTACAACATTCTTAGTAGGTTCAACTCACCTTTTCACCAGTAAAATGACTTGTTGATTTGTGCTTTTATTTTTGCCCCGCAGTCCAGACATACAGATTTCCTACTGCTGAACAGTCATTAACGACAAGGCCACAAATACTCCCCTGAGCTTTAGCATGGCCAGGTCACATATTTAACCCCTGAATGATGGAGACACTTGAATAACATATCACCACTAATCAGCCTTAATACTGAGAAAATGGAAGAATGGGACACTGAGTGGCCCCTGGAAAGTATTGTTAAGTCCCTGAGCCTTTATACAAGTGTCAGCATTAGTCTGTCTCAGGACACGTGGACACTTAAATGGCTAGAGAACTGCCATGTACTGTTAATCAACGAATAATTTAGACCCCAGGATATCCATATTTACAGTACTTGCTGGACAATGAGCTTTTATTTCAGCTGTCATAAGTTGTTTGTCTCCTGGCACGTGGCCACTTAAAACCAACTAGGAGAGGTGGCTGGGATTGGCATCTATTGTTAGCAGGAAACTTGGAATCATTTTGGCAGGAGGTGTGTAAATTTACAGCAGAAGAAACACAAATTAAATAAGGCTTAAAGAAGACTAAGTGGGGAAGAAGGACAAATAATGACCCTTAGACAGTATTGTTAAGAGATTTGGCTTTTATGTAAACTGTCATTGCTTGTTAGTCTGAGGACAAGTGGCTACTTAAAAGATCTTTGGAAGGGAAGTGACACTGACATGTAAAGTAGAAGCTGAGATAAAGTACAACATCAGTTAATAAAATAGTGTATTTTTTTAGTGTATAAAGTCAACATGAGATATTAGAGATGTTATGCAACAATCGCGGTGGTGTTTCCCTGGTTTCTACTCTAAAACCTAAATTTCTATGTGCATCTTTAGTCAAGTTTCCATCCATATTTGGCACAAATTATCACATAATTTCCAGAAAATCTGCTAAATAAAATGCAGATTAATGCATACTACTACCCACTATTGATGTGCATTTTGCTTCCACTCAGGTACCTAAACTTTTTTGCAATGTATCGACTTTTTTCACATTTCCACCCAAGTTTTTCTATATGTGTAGCTTGAAACTGCACTAACACAGGTGGATTTCCATCAGCTTACGTAAATTAACTGAAATCACTACGCCAAGAGCTAGCGTATAATTTATCAGTCAAACACACGGAACATACGTGCACACAAACATGCGTTCACCTGAGCTGCGACTGCAGTTTCCCGGCCTTGGTGATAAAGTCCTCCCAAATAGGGTAGCTGCTCTGTGGGACGAAAAGAGACACAAACATGATTGACACAATCATCAGAACAGGTTTCAGTTTTCCCACAGTTACATAACAGTTCAAACCAACATAAGGCCACCCTGATGCCTCGCCTCACCCTCAGGGCTAAACAAAACTAACCAAGGCTGAGACATTCCCATACATGTAACCCAGTTACAGTCCGTCACCCCCCAAAATGACGTTTTTCCATCTTGCTGCCAGTGGGACCTTAGGGAATCTGGGAAATTAAGCTCTATGTTTAGCAGGATTGTTTGCAAATGAAAAGCATGAGGTTTGGTCTACAGACACAGAATATGTAGTAATATGTTTTCAATTTTCCCCTATTTGGTTTAACGTATTTTAATTCTGCATTATCTGTTAATGGGAGGATAGAGATACCATCATAACCTGCATGTGTTAGGTTGCAAAATGGGTCACAGGCCTCCTTTGGAAAGATCCCCACACAACAAGAGCACTAACACTATGGTATAATGAGCCCGGTTCCCGACGGGACTCTAAATTTACCTAATTTAGGTCCTGAGCTGAAAATAGCGGAAGAGGCATTTTTATCGAAACTGACCCAGAGAACAAGTGGCCTATCGAAAAGGAGGAGGCTAACGTGGTGGTAAGACAGCACAAGATGAAGCGATGAATGTAGCATGAGCACATATTTGTCACTGATGTGCTACTACTGCCAGGAGCATGAGGAATGTCATGTTGTGCTGTCAAACGTCACACCCAACAACCCAACCTCTTTCTTTCCCTCTTCCAATCTCCCTTACATCACAGCGATTCCTTTCGATCTCTGCCCATCTCTGTTCCCTCAGTCTACCTTTCTCTCTCTGAAGAGGCCACCACCGTCAGCTAGGCCATGCTTCTGCGCAGACATCAAACACTCCAGTTCAGCACCATGGCAAATAAGCTTTCTCTGCGTTTGTTCCACCATTTCTTACACCTCCTCTTGTTGACAGAGAATCAAAGTGAGCTGTCTCTTTATTTGTTGGGCACACAACCCAATCTGTGGCTCTTTAAATAAAGAGGCAACACTGGAAATGTGAGCGTCTTATGTAAAAGACAAAGCAAATACACTGCTGTTGTCAGTGGCACCACAGTTGACAGACTAAGGCAGCCATGAACTAGCTAGTAAAGTAAGACATGGAAGGCTGAGAAGTGCTGAATATCTGAGCAGTATTCATAACAAACTTTTCTGGCTCCAGCAGACCCGATGGCTGGCCATTTGACCTACACATGTCAACGCTTTCAGACTTTTCTACCCTGACAGCTACATTCCCTGCATTCCTTCAGGCAAGTACAACAGCTGGGGAAATCTGCCAATTGTCCCATTGGCCAAGATGTTAAAACACACACACACACACACACACACACACACATCAAAATAAGATGCGCTAGTTTTGACACCTATTTAACCTTTATCAAATGTTTGGCTGCTGCTCCACTTCAAACTGGAATAAATGGACGTAAACCAACATTTTATTGTTTTTTCCATTGGAAAAGGATAGAGCAGAGTGCAGTCAAATATAATGATATATCAAACTGACTTACTAAAACTAAGGCGGCTAATCTATAGTACGACCAGAAACACTATCATACACATCAGATGGAAATAATGTGTTAAATGAATTCTGCTTTACTATATTTTGTTTATTGGTTTCTAGCGTTACATACAATACAATCAGAAGGTTGGTGCGTTCAGGAACGTTAACTTAAGGTATGTTAACCTAACGTAAACTGTTTATCTGTTGGAGGACATTTACTACTAACATCATTGACTGGTGTTTGGACAGTTAAATGGCTGGGATAGTGAGGTTTTTAAAGGTCGGCTAACGGCTCTCGAGTGATATAGTTAGTGTTGGAGAGTTCATTTGGCTTACTTTCATGTCTCCGATAACAGTTTGGAAGAGTCCTCCGAGCGCGCTGCATTCCTTCTCGATAACAGCCTCCATTTTCAGGACCAACTCCGGTGGTCAGTCCCGACTCGGTGAGCCGCTTTCAGTTCGCCACCTCCACTCTCCAGGAAAAGCAAAACAAAAGCCCAAAAACTCCCGAAAATGTGAACACAAACTATTTCTACTGTTCTGAAATCGACCAACAAGTACTTTCAACGCAGTCCAAGATGTAAAGAACCACAGCTGGGTTCTCCTCTGGTGCACCGTTCAGGCTAACGTTACTTCAAATCAAAAGAAGCTGTCGGGACGAAAGAGAAATTTAAATCCCCCTCTACCCTCCACGCCGCCCCGCTCACACCCATGGCTGGACTGTGAAAATAAACAGCTACTAGAAACTAGAAATAATCCACGGTGTTCGGCTGGTAACGTTACTCCGTGTCTTGACAGGTAAATACCGACACTCCCGGGTGTCCTCGCTGCCCTCTCCACACTGACTGAGTAGGAGAAAAAAGACAAGACGAGAAACAACCGTCAAGCCAGCGTCAGTAAGAAGAAAATACATTTCCTGTTTATTGTTTTCCACCAAAATAAAATGTCTGGTGGAACGTAATAAAGTACATTTAGTCAACTATTGTACTTAATTACAAGTTACAGGCACTTTACCTGACTGTGTTTATTTTATGCTACTTTCTATACAATTCAATTCAATTCAAATTAGCTTTATTGGCATGAATGTGTAACAACATACATTTCATTAAACAAGTAATTAAAGCGTAAAGTAATCAAAGCGTATGTGTGTTTGTGTTTGTGAAACAGTAAGCGTGTGTGTTAAAAAATATAAATATATTACAAATAAATAAATAAACAAAACAGTAAGCGTGTGTGTGTGTGTGTGTGTGTGTGTGTGTGTGTGTTAAAAACATATATATACAGTATATTAAAAATAAATAAAACAGGCTGTGTTCACTCAGTCTGTATGTTGTCAACATTTTTCTTAGTTTGGGACATTTTATTGTACTCAGGTAATTTGCCAGTGTGAATTCTCTTTTTAGGGTCAGATAACATTGTAATTTACTTTGGTTTTTGGTCGTTTCTTTCCAGTATTCAATATATTTTTCTTTCTGCTTGCTGATAGATTGGTTTGGTCTGCTTGAGTTGGTATTGCTGTCCTGAGGCTGTTGGGGACTTGTTATCGCAGAGAGCCACAGGACCAGCTGGCTGAGGGGACTCTTCTCTGGTTTCAGCTCCTGGTATGTTAGGGCTTTGTGATGATATGTCTGGGGGTTAACTGATTTTAAGTGATTGTAAAATTTAAGTGATCTTTTCTGTATTTTTAGTAGGAGGGGGTATTGGCCGAGCTCTGCTCTGCACAGGTTATTTGGTGTCTTTCTCTGCACCTGCAGGATGATCTTACAGAACTCAGTATGGAAAGATTCTATGATTCTTTTGTCCCATTTGTCAAATTCATTATTAAGTTTTGGCCCCCAGATTTCACTACCATAAAGAATTATTGGTTCTAGTACAAATTGGAAAATTTTAAGCCAGATTTCAATTGGAATATATATTTTAATGTTTCTTTTTATTGCACAGAAAGCTCTCCATGCTTTGTCCCTCAGATCTTTCACAGCCATGTTGAAGTTCCCTGTGTATGTAATGTTGAGGCCAAGGTAAGTGTAGTTTTTTGTGTGTTGTAATTTAATGGTGTCTAAATAGAAATCGTGTGTAACCTGATTTCTGTATTGTTTCTGAAAGATCATTATTTTAGTCTTTGCTGTGTTTACTGTCAGTTTTGCGGCAATTTGGCAAAAAAACAATGTGGCATTTATGCAGAATATTGTGGTTATCAACAAAGTTGACAAGTCGTTTATTAATGATGTTGCAGAATATTTTTCCCAGGTTACTGGATACACATATTCCTCTGTAGTTATTTGGGTCATATTTATCTCTGGATTTATGAATTGGGGTTATTAAACCTTTGTTCCAGATATCTGGAAAAGTTCCAGTTGCTAGAATAGTATTAGTATAGCCAATCTGATTTTATGGTCTGAGTATTTGATCATTTCGTTGAGGATTCCATCAATACCACAAACCTTTTTTCCTTTCAGGGACTGGATGACTTCTGTTAATTCTTGTTCTGTTACAGGGTAATCTAGAGGGTTTTGGTTGTTTTTTATCACCGCCTCCAGAGTTTTCCATTTCGTGAATATCTTGTACTGATCATCATTTTTTGTAATATTTCTGTATAATTCACTAAAGTGATCCAAGTATTTATACTACTCCACTATGTTTCAGAAGGAGATATTATACTTTTTACTCCATGTAGGCCTATTTAATAATATTACTTAAGTGCAATTTATAATTCTGCTTCAAATCGACGGTGTAGGCTATGGGGCTACGCAGAGGCTACGCCGTCGCCTGACGTGCACCTCCTCAAAAATGTAACTACACGTCGAGTTGACGCGGACCGTAAGCTCTGTGATTGGTCGGCTGGGTAACCTCGCAATGTCTCCGAGTCGACCGGAAGTACCCCGCGCTTTGAAGTAATTTTTACTAGCGGCCAAAACGGTGGCTGTAACACAGTGAATCAATATATTTGACCATCGCAACCCGAGCGAAATGACTTGTTTCGCTATCAGAATGTGATCCACTTGGTTGGTAACATTTGAAAAGGCTACACCAGCCGCATGTATACAATTTTACCCTCATTTATGTTAGCAGAACTCTAAACCGGAAGTTAGCCTGCTCGGCCGGCAAAAGTCATCACAGTGGAGGCTGTGTATAGTATAAATGCATGGCTACGTGCGTAGCCTATGGCGTAGGTACGGTCGTAGACCCAGGTGTATAAATGGGCCTTTAGGCCTACTAGTTACTTTGCAGATTATCATTATAAATACTTAATATAATCAAGTAATAAATTATGATGCATTATTATAGATTAGGCTGCCTTGCAGCCTTCCCATCAGTCCAGGACATTTACACCACAAGGGTGATCAGAAGGGCCCACAACATCATCAAAGACAGTAGGCTACACACCCACAACACAGTCTCTTCACACTTCTGCCGTCAGGGAGACACTACAGGAGTGTAAAATCGAGGGCAAGACTATCAAACAGCTTTTAGCCATGGGCGATCAGACTCTTGAACAATAAATCCAACATTACCTCCCCCACTCTCCATCACTCCTATTGACTTTTGCCCAGCACACTGCACAGAGCCTCTCCACTTAACCTACTTTGCTGTATATATTAATGTTTATTGTTTATTGTATTTATTTTTTTCATTTCTTTTTGTATCAATATAATTACATGTTTTATTTTTAAGGGAGACTTGCAAAGTAAGATTTTCAATGTATAGAAGTGACAATAAACTTCTTGAATCTTGAATCATATATAGTAAATGCGTTAACATTAGCTCGATCTTCGAGCTGCAACAGTAAACAGATGTAGGGCTTACACAGTGCATCAATAATTATAATCCAATAATACGATGTATATTATTCTTAAATCTCTGCATAAATTCTTTTACTTTTGGTATGTTATGTAGGCTATATATTGCTGCTAATACTTTTGTACCTCTACTCAAGCGATATTTTGATTAAAGGACTTTGACTTGTAATGGATTGTTTTTAAGGCTGTATTGGTACTTTTACTTGAGTAAAAGATCTGAGTACTTCTTCACCACCATAGGAATTTCACTTGTGTGCTTGGAAATTAGCATTTTGATGATGATAACAAGTAAGTAAGTAAGTAACACATTGCTTATGCATCTTAGCAAGATACTTTGAGGGGGTAGTCGTAAATCAAAAAAAACATAACACACACAAACACAATACATAAATAAAAGTGTGTACATCAGTTAAACGCCACATAAATTGAACATAAAAAGGAGGTTCCGCTCATAGCTCGATGTAAAACTGAAAGATTATTTTTTGCATTGAACGTCTTAGTTTTATTGTGAAGGAAGACCCGCGATTACATCCGGTGTTATTCTGTAAACTTGACTCCGTGATGATGGAAGATGCAGAGGTGAGCAGTGAGTGGACGAGCGCAAGAGAAGTAAAGCGCGTTCATGAGTTGCTTGATGTTTTCATACCGAACTTGAACAGCTCGAAAACATCGGTAAAGTATTGAACAGATTATTTTCTTCTATGAATTTTGTCTGGCTTCCTAAGTGTTTAGGGGGGTATAGTTGTAAAGCGCCTCCAAAAGTTTTGCTATTGAAACATCGGGCACACATGGAAAGGTTAAGCTGCTGTAGATAACGGGAGTCAACTTGTGGCTGAAATTAAACGACATAAAACATAAAATACATAAAATCACTTCAGCAGGTTTATTAAATGGAATGTGATGTTATATGATTAATAATTAAAACAGCATAAAAGACCCATTATGGTAACAATGGTTTCTATAAAGACCACATCTGTAGTGCATAAGGGCAGTTATAAAACATAATTTTTAAATATTACTAGCACACTGACCTTTCTGTCAAAGGTAGCCATATCAGCCTTACAGACTTCTCAACAGTAAATTATTACTAAAAACTAAGGCGATCTTACAGTGCACTATGAATTATTAAGTTGTTCTACTTTGTGTTAAGTAAAAATTAAATATAGGCCTATGCACAGAATGGACAGTTTTTCCATTTGTATGTGCTAATTGTCCACTTGGTCTTTGAATTGTGCAATCTGAGGAATTTTGTCTTAGACATAGTTTGAAGCCAGTATATTTTCCTGAACACAAAGCCTCGATGTGTAGGACTTGGCATTTTCTGACTTGTCCTTTGGCGACTCTTCGTGGTAGCATCAAAAAAGACACAGGGGCAGACAACAGTGCACCCTGTAATGATGCAAAGACAGGGGCTTCTTCAAAACCCTCAATTATATAGTTCTAAAATGCATTTAAAATGTCAAAAACAGCAGGCGTCAGAAACAAAAATTCTTCAATCAATGATTAAAAATAGATTTTAATAGTCCATTGCAAACAAAAGTGTACAGTAGGTAAATAAAACTAATAAATCATCTAGCAGGTAAGATAGTTATTAATTTGGGCACTTTTATGATGCATCAACACGGTTACAATAGTTAAACAGAAAAAGACACATACAGTACATACTTAAATGATCTATTAGTAGATAAAAATCACTTTATAGTAGCTAACTATAGTAGCTTATTGAAAATCAGATTAAATGATTAGTTTGTAATAGAACTCATCTTAATGACAGATTTGTTTAACCCAGACCTCGGTCAAATGATACTTCACTGGAGTTAGCCACATTGCCGCCCTCAGAAAGTTTAAACAAATATTAAGTAACAAAAAATGACGGGGAATGTACAGTAGCTACAATTCTGTGGAAAACATGTCAGATCTACTGAGAAAAGCTGACAAAAAGTTCATGCAACATGAAATTAGGATTTCCATTTCAATATCAGATCAATCACACATTTTAAATAGTGGTCACATAAAAATGTAATGACAGTTGCGTTCAATCTAGAGGGTG